GACTGTCTTGAAGATAGACTAAAAACACTATACCATTATTAAAAAGTATGTTACTGAAAACTAAAAGTCACAAAGGACAGCTAGGATAAACACCAGCATTCAGGGTGTTCCTTTAAACTTCAAGGAAATCACTTCAGAACAAACAAAAGAATAACTTTAGAGCCAGCCCTGATGGCCTAGCAGTTAAAGTTCGGCGGGCTCCGCTTCCAGGGCCCGGGTTCAGTTCCCAGGCACAGAACCACACCACTCGTCTGTCAGTAGCCATGCTGTGGCAGTGGCTCACACAGAAGAACCAGAAGAACTTACACTATACACAACTACGTACTGGAGCTTTAGGCGGGGGAGGAAGATTGGCAACAGATGTTAGCTTGGGGTGAATCTTTCCCTGCAAAAAAGGAATAACTTTAGGGGTCTTAGTGGTCAACATATGAAAAATCATACCCCAAAAGACATTATAATAGTGCTTGAGGAAAGGTTTAGATCATTTGTGAGTGAAAATCCAGAGTTTACTGAATGGAATAATAGATAACACACTATGTCAGGCACTGTTCTAAAATAAGTTAACTCATTTAATCCTCAGAGCAACCCTATGAGACAGGCACTAGTATTAGTCCTACTTTACAGATGGAGGAGCTAAGAAGAGAGAAGTTAAGTAACTTGTACAAGATCACATGGCTAGTAACTAGTGAGGCTAGGATTCTAAGCCAGTGGGGATGGCTTCAGAGCCCATACTTTTAACCACTGCTCTACTTGCCTCTCAAGGGAAGAAAGGATTGGTTATTCATCCTTAATCTTTCAAAATGAGAGACTGATGCCACAAAGCCAACTAACAAACTTTCTATAAGAGACAGAATACTGGCCCAGCCCCACAGATCTAATGCAGCTCTTCTCACATAAAAACCAGCTTTGGAGGAATTATCCAAACAGCTCTTTCAACTCCACTCTGCTTTGACTAGAGAAATGGGAAACCAGGCTGATCAAGACTTGAAAATGAAACAACAAGCAAAATGCTCAAGAAAGTTGGTTCACTTAAAGAGTGTGCGTTTGCAGTGACAGAATTTGGCAAGAAGTTTTTCCCCAGGCTGCCAGCATATTCTGATGAAATCCCATCTCTACCAGCTTTGGAAAGGAGGGCAAAGGAGAAGCAGAACCAAAAACCAAACAAGTGCTGGCCAAGCCCCCTTAAAGGACCTTAGATCCTTTCCACATGTACAGAGAAGGCAATTTCCAGAACCAGAGGAATCCCTGGGCACCACAATGGCTCCAAGTGGCAAGATTTTTAGTAACCTTCACAGCACTGGCAAATTAGACGTCCTAGAAAAATGAGAGACTGAAGGCCCCCTTTAATCCTGGCCTGTGGGCATTCTTAACATGGAACAGTTCAGAGAAGCCCCGATTCTGAGAAGTCTCAGCATTTCAGCAAGCTAAGTGGGGTTAGGCAAGAAAGGAGGGCCCCTCCTCCCAGGACACACCCCACACTCCAGAATTTCTGACAATGAGAAGGCCAAAATTAGCCCTAGTTATTTCCCATGTTTTACAATCCAGGCATCTTCTCTCTGAATCATTCGCTCTCCTAATGGAAGCTGGTCTGAGGAACACATAACTCCTCTAAGAGCAATTCCTGTAATAGGCTTATCATGAAGAATACAAGAGTAAGAAACCCTAAGTGGTGTTCTGCCCAGGAAGGAAGCAAAATACCAGTGGGCTGCTGAAAAGTCCACAGGCGTTTGAAACAAGTGAGAGATGAGTGATGAGGTCCAGGTTGAACCCATTTTCTTCTTCCTCTGTCTAATCCTAACTAAATTTAACCGTACATGGCTGACTAGTGGAGTCACACACACTTGGGTTCAATTCCAGGCTCAATCAGGCACATGATTTGGGGCGTATTACAGACCCTTACCATGCACTTCTGCGAAATGGCGGTTAACAGCTTGTACTTCATAAAGGTTGTAATGAGCATTAAATGAGATAATAAACGTAATTTGTCCTCAGCACGATAGCACACACTCAGTAAATGTAAGGTACCGCTTACCCCCATCCTCCTCACCCCACCCCACCCCACCTTGGACTACAAACCCCTTCAGAGGCCTTATCATCCACTGCCTCCCGACAGCAGACGTACAGGCAGGAGCACTGGTCCTCATGGTCCCCTTACTGGAGTGTGATTTGGCTGAACCTGGCTGAAATGCTAGAGTGGCGCCCTTGGCCGAGAAAACCAAACTCTGGGAAGCAAGGACGGATCCTCAACCAAAAGCTTGGTGGCGTCTGTTGTTTACAGTGAGTCCCCTTCCTACCAACGCACTGAGAGAGGGTCTGAGTACATTTCTAAGCATCCAACTTGGCAGGCAGGGGAAGCGCAAAGATGACTTAAAGCCAAAGAGGCTGAGGCTGTGGGGTAGTGGGAACCCTGAAAGAGTGAGGCCCCTCCCGGGAGAGAACAGCCGAGAACGATCGAGCTTCTCACCCCTCTGCTCAAGCAGGGGCCCTCGCAGCTCAGAGCTGGGGGCTTCTTAAGGGTCCCGCCACCGACCGGGCCAAGCTCAAGTGAGACCCGAGGGCCTGGCAGGCGGGAAGCGGGGGCCGCGGGCGCCCCCGAACCCCAGCTCAGGAATGTGGTCAAAGAGGGGTCACCGGGGGAGGGGCCGGCGGCGAGGACCTGGGGAGGGGCGGGGCCCGTGCAGGGGCAAGAGGTCGGAGCACCAGGCTTCCGAGGCTCAGGGTCCCCACCCGGCTCCCAGCCGCACGCCGAGCGCCCCCTCCAGCCGGGGTCCCTGCCACCACGGCGGGGCAGTCCCACTCCCCTTACCTGGCTCGGCTGCTCTGCCTGCTCCGAGGACGCCATCTTTCTGAGGCCTGACTAATCTATCGCCGCTGGGCGAGGCTTCTCCCAAGCGCCCTCGCTCTCGCTCTCCCACCCAGACCAAAGTAGCCGGCACTGAGCCTGTCGATGGTGGGCCCTTGCGGGAGGAGTGGGGAACTGCTGTGTCCGGGTCACCTCGCACCATTTCCACTAGGTCTCTGCTTTCCAGGAAGATCCGAAGTCTGTCCTTTTTGCATTCTTACGTGTATATTATTCTTATTAAATTCAATCTCTGCCCATCCCCACAGTGCCCTAGGCAGATGTAGGGACTCGCTAAGTAATAAATGAATGAAGGTGAAGAAACTTGGAAATTAATTAATTAGTTAATTAATGTTTCTGTTCAGTACCATTTGTTGAGTGCCTACTATTTGCCAGGCACTTTAGTAGGCGCTAGAAATAAAAAGATCCAAGACTCACCCTCTGCTCCCAAGTCCAGGCCAACACACACACACACACACACACACACACACACACAATTACAGCTTTTTGGAGATAGGAGTCTGATAACCGTGTGCAGGTCTATTAGGAGAACACGGAAGAGGGGGCTTTTTGGAGAGGAGGGGCTTCTACAAACCGTTATTACTTTATAGAGATCAAGTTGTCTGATTTTAAACTAAATGTGAAATTACACGAAAGGGTTGTATACATTAGAACTACCAGTCAGTTCATATTGTAGTTGTGTTTTGATCCATCATGGAGTATTCAAAAGGGTTGCCTCAATTAACAATTCCTCCTACCAAACACTGTTTTAAATGCCTACCTCTTTTCTTATGAGAATATCTGATTTCCTTTCGTCAACAAAATATAAAAGAGACTGACCCTTAATGAATATGGGCTAACAATTATTTCTTTTTTTTTTTAAGATTTTATTTACTTTATTTTTTGCCCCCAAAGCCCCAGTAGATAGTTGTATGTCATAGCTGCACACCCTTCATAGTTGCTGTATGTGGGACTCGGCCTCAGGATGGACAGAGAAGTGGTGCCTTGATGCGCACCCGGGATCCGAACCCGGGCCGCCAGCATCGCAGCGCACGCACTTAACCACCAAGCCACAGGGCCGGCCCTATTTCTTGTTTCTATAAAATGCCCCCCTTTACAGCGAGGGACCTTTTTGATAATTTTATTATTATTTTAATCTTAAATATTAGTTTTTCAGGGGGGGAAAAAACACAGATTTTTCCGTACGTGGTAGTATTAGAACAAGGACAAAAATATTGTCATGCAGCATCTGGGCAATCTCAAACTGTGATGTGGTTCGCATTTCCCCTCTCCTCTCTGATTTGAGACCATAATGTTTAATCTATTTAAGCATTTCGTTCCAAGGTCCCAACCCAATTTGCACAGCTGAAGCAGGGAATCGAACGGATGGAAAAGTGCGAATATCTTATGCTTCTCTGTTATGTTTTCAAGCAAAACTGAAAACTACACTCATCAATTTTTAAAATTGACTTCCTGGGCCAGCCCGGTGGCTTAGCGGTTAAGCGCGTGCGCTCCGCTACTGGCCGCCTGGGTTCGGATCCCGGGTGCACACTGATGCACCCCTTCTCCGGCCATGCTGAGGCCGCGTCCCACATACAGCAACTAGAAGGATGTGCAACTATGACATACAACTATCTACTGGGGTTTTGGGGGAAAAAAGGAGGAGGATTGGCAATGGATGTTAGCTCAGGGCTGATCTTCCTCACAAAAAAAAAAAGAATTGACTTCCTTCTGATCAGCCTGAAGGTTGGGACATCTTACAGATCTTTTCACGTTGGAAAGGGAAAACAAATTAACACAGTACAATGACAAACTGTTTTAAGTATTAATATTATTCGTCTATATATGCAAATAGGACTGCTCTAACAATTCAAGGGAGTATACATGCATGTCCTTCACAATGCAAAATAAATCCATGTTGACCTCATTTTGAACTCGCTATTGCAAGTCCTAAGGTAGAAAAAAACTCCTCCTGGGCTGAATTGCCCGACCTAACGAAGTTGGCTTTAAACCCAGAGACTACAGCTCCCGGCATGCCCCCGGGGTTAGTAGCAATTAGAACTACATCTCCCGGCGTGCCTTGGTCCCATGCGTGATTTGCTACAGGGAGAACTACATCTCCCGGCATGCCGGGGGGGAGGGGGGGAATGGGGCAGACCGCCCGCGCCCAGCCTCCCCGATTTCGCCGGGTCAGTTAGGTCCCGCCCTGAAGAGGATGGAGGTGGCCGGGGACGTGGGTGCTGCAGAACCCGGCGAGACCCGGCCTCTAAAGCCGTGTCTGCTGCGCCGCAACCACAGCCGCGAACAGCACGGCGTGGCGGCCTCCAGCCTCGAGGAGCTGAGGAGCAAGGGTTGGTGGGGGCCCGGGAGGCGGGGGCCAGGTCCGAGGGGAGCCGGGGCCGGGGCAGGGTTAGGGTGTCGGGCGGGGGCAAGGCGGGGTCAGGAGAGGCGACTTGAGGGTTCTTGTAGCTCGGGTTTTGACTTGGGTCAGAAATGACTCACGTGGGTATAGCGATTTATAAGTTTCAAAGCGTTTACAGGCGCTTTAACTTAATTTCTCTCGTGTGAGACTCGTAGTGGTGGAAAGGTAGACAGGAAGCGATATGCACATTAAGACAGACCTGACTTAGGTGTCTTGCCTAAAATCACTCAGATTTTGGACCAAACCCAGCCCAGTGTATTCCTGCCGCTCGGGGTCTCTAAGGTGGTACCTGCGCCCCAAGCTGAGCCCCTGGCAGGCACCTGTGCGGTAGAGAGGGAGCTGCTACCCCTCATTCTGGAGGTCCGGACAGGGGATGTGTTGTGAGTGACCAAGCTGACAGAAGTTCTGAGCCCCGCTCTGTTGCTAGCCGCTTTATGTCGCACTTAACCATCCCTCCACCCTCAGTTTTCTCATCGGCAAAGTGGGTGTATTTCCAGCCCTGCTTCGCAGGATTGCTGGAATTCTCGAAGGAGGTGATATATTCAAATGATTTATAAGTTCTTAGCCCAGAGTGATAGATTGTTTATCCAAAGAAGTTCTGTGGGTTGAACGTGTGAGCCGTCCCAGGCATGTAGTCAGGGTCTATGTCAGAGTGTTCAGTGCTTCCTCTCAGTCAGCAAGCCCCAAGGATATCAGAAGTCTTTCAGGAACCCAGGAGAGCCAAAGCACCATAAATGCTTTAGTGACATGGCTTTTGCCTATATCTGTTTACATTTTTTTCCTTGGCGTTAGGGTGCTTTAGTGTCCCTTCAGTGCACTGGCTGGATGTGCTTGGCACAGAGGCTTGTGTCAGTGCTTGTGTTTCTGGAGCTCAGCCTCTGCAAGGCTTGCTGTTCTATTTGGGTGGGAGACAACATTGCCTGATGATACTTGCAGTCTCTTGGCTACTTCTCTGCTTACTCTAGTCCCATTAACATTTTAGGCATTGCCATCACTAAATGTGATGGTGCAGACCTGGCCTGGACAAAGCCTCTTGCCCAGTGATTATAAAGATGAAAAGCTACTGATACAAACTTCTGCTTCTCTTATTCTTTCCTATGGGTCAGAAAGGCTGCAAAGATACTACAAAGAACAAAAAGTATTTCCTGTTTTTCTTTTCTAAAATTTTCTTTTTTTTTGTGACATTTGACACATAGGAGAATTTAAGATGACCAATGAGGAAATGAATCAAAGACTGCTTGTTCTCAGGGAATCAAATCAGACTTTGTTGTTCATCCAAGTAAAGACTCAAGTGCCTCCTAAAGTGGGTATAGAGTAGCTGGAGGAAACACATTTTCAAGAGTCAGATTGTGTGAGTTTAAATCCCAGCTCTGCCACTTACTGTGTGAACTTGGAAAAGTTACTCAGCCTCTCTGAACCTTGAGTTTGACATCTGTAAAACGAGAATAACCCTTTTAGGATTGTTATGAGATTAAATATTGTATTTGAAAAGCTCTTAGAACAGTATCAGGCACGTGGTAAGTGTTATGTTAGGGCTAGTAGTAATGGTTGTTATTGTAGTTATTATTACCTACCAGGAATTTTTCTAGTCTCGGGGGGGTGGGGGACACGTATTTAGAGCACAAGAACAGATGTAATTTCCTTATGGATACTTGTCAATTGCCAAATATTTTATTCCTCTCAGCCTATGACATTCTGGCCATTGATAAGTCCCTGGCAGTCACCCTGGTCCTGGCAGAGGATGGCACCATAGTGGATGATGACGATTACTTCCTGTGTCTACCTTCCAATACTAAGTTCGTGGCATTGGCCGGTAATGAGAAGTGGGCATACTGCAATTCAGGTAAGAAATGCTGGCCATATATGAAATGATCCATCATGATTCATTTTACCTCACAGGCCCCTTGTTGCTGTTTGTCTGGCTGTTTAAGCAATTATGCAGCAAACGTTTACTGAGCACCTTCTGTATACTAGAAATGGTGCTGAGTCTGGGGGTTGGGGTGAAGATGAATGAGACATGGGCCCAGTTCTCAAATAACTCACAGACCGACAGCAACTAAAATGCAGTATGACAGAGAAGGCAGTGCCACGGGTGTGTCCAGGCTGCCTGGTCTGTATCCTGGCTCTGCCATTTACTAGCCATATGACCTGGGGCAAATTAACTAAGTTCTCTGCCTTATTGAGATAATTATTATAGTACCCATCTCCTAGGGCAGTTGTAAGGATACTAGAACTTAGTACATATCGAACCAAGATTTCTCAACAATGCTATTGACATTTTGGGCTGGAGAGTTCTTTGTTGTGAGGGAGCTGTCCTGTGCGTTGTAGGATGTGTAGCAGCATCCTTGGCCTCCACCCACTAGATGCCAGTAGCATCTCCTCACCCCAGTTGTGACAACCAAAAATACCTGCAGACATTGTCAAATGTCTCCTGGGGGCAAAATCACTCCCAGTCGAGAACTGATAAAAAGCATTTAGCTCTTACCTGGCACATAGTAAGAACTCAATAAATGTTACCTGTCACCATCATCATCATCATTACTAGAGATACAAACGGAACTAATATTGATGAGCAAGGATCAAAGAGCTAAAGAAGTGTCTTGAGGAAAGTCCCCATGCCACTAAGTTGAGGAAGTCACCCTTCAGCAATGGGTCTACCAGCCACCTTTGTACTCCGGCCCTAGGGACACCAAACGGCTGTTGCAGTTCCTCCAATCAAGGATGAGATCAGGGGGGCCGGCCTGGGGGTGCAAGTGGTTAAGTGTGCTCACTCCGCTGTGGCGGTCCGTGGTTTGCCGGTTCGGATCCCAGGCGTGCACTGACGCACTGCTTGGCAAGCCATGCTGTGGCGGCGTCCCATATAAAGTGGAGGAAGATGGGCACAGATGTTAGCCCAGGGCCAGTCTTCCTCAGCAAAAAAAAAGAGGAGGATTGGCAGATGTTAGCACAGGGCTGATCTCCTCACAAAAACAAACAAACAAAAAAAGGATAAGACCAATCCCCAAGCACAGGAGAAGCGCTGATGAGAATGAATGTTTTTGTATGCAAAAGCAGAACACACCCTGAGACAAAACAACTAACCTAAAGGGCAGTGTGTGCCATCCTGGATGTGCATCACCATGCATTAAGTTTAAGTGGCTTCTTTCCATAAAAGAATACAGAGCAGTTTCACATAGAAATAAATTGAAGAGAGAAGAATAGGGGAAATTAAGGTCCTAGATGGAGATGGGCTTTCCCATGAATCCTTGAGAAAAAGTGCTTCCTGCACCACTGAAATTATTCTAAGTGGTCAGTCAGAAGGATGTGCAGGCCTCCTGAAGGTCTGTGTGTTGGGGGAAGAGGTGAAAACAGCACTTCAAGTTAATCTGACTGTGACTGGCATTTTCTTCCATATATCAGATGGAGGTACATCCTGGATTTCCCAAGAGTCCGTTGAGGTAGATGAACCAGACAGCGGGTCAGAGTTGCAGTGGAAGAATGTCGCCAGGCAGCTAAAAGAAGATCTATCCAGCATCATCCTCCTGTCAGAGCATGATCTCCAGGTGAGCCTCCTCCCCAGCCCGCAGCCACGCTCAGCCGGTTCTGCCGCCCCCAGCAACCTCCTTAGCCTTCTTACTTTCATGTGTCTTGCCATAATAATTTCATTACTTGTTAATTTTTAAATAATTCTTATATGACAAGGAAGATCCTTCATTTCCTAATTCTCTCACCTCAAGTAGGAATTTTTCAGCCCTCACCCTGCATGGAAATCACCTATGGAGCTTTTTAAAGTACAGATGACCAGGCCCACTGTGGGGTAGAGGGTGTACTGCTGAAGCAGGTGGAGTTGGAGTAGCTGGATTAAACCCCAGCGCCATCACTATGACTTTGAGCCAGTAACTTAGCTTCTCTGCTTACATTTCCTCTCCAGTAAAATTGGGATTAAAAACAGTGTGTGTTAATTCAAGAATATATTTATTGAGGCCCTGCCCTGTGCGTGGCATGGTTCTCTGTACTGGGGTACAGTGGTGACCAAGCCAGACACAATCCCTGCTCTAACGGAACTCACATTCTGATGAAGGGAGGCAGAGAAAACCAGGCACACATCAGACAGGGCGTGCTGAGAGTGATGGGGCTGCTCTAGATTGGGACATCAAGGAAAGTCCCTTGAAGGAGGTGACTTTTTGGTTATTTATGAAACTTAGAAATTTATTTTGAATTAATAATATGAATACATTCACATGGTTCAACATCCAAGTGGTATAGAAGGATATACAGTTAGCCAAAAAGTGAAAACAACCCAAATATCCATCAACTGATGAATAGATAAACAAATGTGGTGTATCTAAACAAAGGAATATTATTCAGCCATAAAAAGGAATGGAGTATTAATACATGCTGCAACGTGGATAAACCTTAAAAACATTGTGTTAAGTGAAAGAAGCCAGACGTGAAAGGCCACATATTTTATGGTTGTATTTATATGAAATGGTGAGAATACACAAATACATAGGGATAGAAGACAGATTAGTGGTTGACTAAGGCTGGGGCCGGGGGGAGCTATGAGGAGAAATAGGGAGTAACTGCTAATGGGTATGGGGTTTCTTTTTGGGGTGGTGAAAATGTGCTAAAATTGATGGTGGTGATGATTGTACAACTCTGTGAATATGCTAAAACCCACTAAATTGTACACTTTAGATGGGTGAATTGTATGCTATTTAAATTACATCTCAATAAAGCTGTTTGAAAAAAAAGGATATACAGGAAAAGTCTGACTCCTGTCCCCAGTCACCCAAGTTTCCCTTCCTGGAGACAACCAATCTGTCAGTTTCTCATTCCAGAGGTATTTTATATACAAACAAATGTGTATATATTTTCTACTCTTCCCCTAAATTGCACAAATGGAAGCATATCTACTCTGTTTTTAAAGAAATATTTGGAGAGTATTCCAGATCAGTATATAAAAGACATCCTTGTTCTTTTTTACCACTGCATAGTATTCCACTTCGTGCATGTGCCATGATGTATTTAATGAGCCTCCACCACTGATGGACATTTGGGTTGTCATCAGTCTTGCTCTTCCAGACAGTGCTGCAAAAGTTAGACTGGTGTCATTTTGCGCACATGCTTGTCCATAGAATAAGCTCATAGAAGTACAGTTGATAAACATTGGTAAGTTCCCAAGAGGTGATGATTAAACTGAAAACGGAAGGACAAGATGGATCCTGTCATGGAAAGGTTGAGGCCAGAGTGTTCCAGGCAGAGAGAAGGCAGGAGCAAGCTTGGCTTTTTTCCTTTTTTTTTTTTTTTAAGCAACAGAAGGGGCTCATGAGATCCCTTCCCATCCCGACAGACTAGCATATTATGATATACCCTTGGAATAAGGAGCACGATAGACCTTACCAAAATAGGGACATCAGAATGTGAGTGAGCCCGAGCCCTGACAGCTAGGCACCACAGGGAAGTTAGGGCCTTAAAGGGAACTTGCGGAGGCTGCCACAGCAGAGAAAAGAAAGGCACCCCCCTCTCGGGGACTGGGCAGTGAGAAGAGATGGGAGAGAAGGGAAGAGCACCAGGATCAGTTACAAAGGGTCCTGATTAGAACTGAGACTGACTGTGATTCTTGGGAAATTACTAACCTCTCTTGTCTCATTTTCCTCATCTGTAAAATGGGGGTAATACTAGTACCTACCTCATAAGGTTTGTACCTCTCGAATTTTGAACCTTGTGAATGTATTAATATTATTTGTTCGAAAATTGAAAATAACTTAAAAAGTCACTTCCTCAAAGAGGTCTTGCCTAACCTAAAGTAGCCCTCCCTGTCACTTTCTCTTCTAAGAGTTTTACATCTGTTTTCTCATTGGTACATAGTACGTGCTCAAGAAATGCAAGCTCTTATGGTAGTTTTCATAAAGCTCCATGGTGACTCTAATGTGCAGCTGAGTCCAAGAGTTTCAACAGTTTGATCTTTCTCTTATGAAGACTATTTTTAATCTAGTGCTGTATATGCCGTAAGAGTGAGCCTTCTTAAAAATTATTACCCTTATAGCAGATTTAGTATATAATAAGTGAGGTCTCCCTTATTTCACAGACTGAACATGTTATTAAAAGTTGAGTATAGTTTATATTTTAAAAATAGTCTTTTAAAGCTATAAACATGTATAATAAAAATGTTTAAGATTAAAATCATTAGAAAAACTTTTGCTTAAAACAACCTCATATCCATTATATAAATGATCATATACCTCCTCCTTTATATTCTGTACAATTGGGTTTTTTAATATCAGGATTTTGTTGTTTTTTTTTTTGTGAGGGAGATCAGCCCTGAGCTAACATCCATGCTAATCCTCCTCTTTTTGCTGAGGAAGACCGGCTCTGAGCTAACATCTATTGCCAATCCTCCTCCA